TTTGGGTATGCCACTTAACCTCGCTTCAGTAGACTTCATTACTTTTTTAGTTATATTAGGAATAAAGCCCACTCAAATGAATTTGTATTCTTGAAGGTTTTTCATCGATTTTTATGACGTTTTTTGCGTTCTGATGCTCAGACACTGCACTTTACAACTTTTGGCAGTCTACCAGATATCTAGATGCAGGATTGATAAGCTAGTAGTTTTTTGGCTTATGTCATCCTTTTTTGAAGGTCTTCCCATTGCCAATTTTCCTTGTTTAAGTGGTTGAACTATTTGGCAAACGTGGCTGCCAGTTCAAACGGGATTTTTGGTGATGTGTGACTTCGTATCTTTTTAGTTTTCGTATTTTTGCTTTTCCTTCTGGTGCTTCTATCCGAAGGTTGTCAGGCGCGTCTCCCGCTTTTTTGATGAACTGAGCAAGGAGCTGACTGGGGAAGTGGGTACCAGAATAATTATTTGCCTCACTATTTAAAAAGCGTTCATTTCATGAACCACTTTAATGCTTGATCAGTTGAATCGTCCATTTCGTGTGCTCATTATTAGAGGGAGAAAAGTTTTACCTTTGCATGACCCATGAGGGTGTCTCGCGATCCACGAGTGAGGTGACCACAATGCCTGTCGTTCAGAATAGGTCTTGCTTTCATTATCGTCCGCTATGCAGAGTTCATGATTTCGTCTGTTGCTTGTCTTATTATTTTTGCTGTTTTTAGAGTCTTGGTGTGATTCTTTACATCCTCGTCTGTGGTTCCTTCCCCTTTCCTGGTGAATCTCTTGGTGATATTCGTAGTCAGGTTCTTCGTGGTCTTGTCCGATTTCCTTTCTTCCTCTCCTCTGCCTGTGAGCAAGTCATTCGTGGGATGCTGCAAGTGGAGCCATCAAAACGCCTCCGACTTGCACAGGTAACGAATACGCCATGGATGCAAGCTTCTCCCAACCTTGACCACTACACGAACCTTCTGACCCAATACACCTCCAAAGCACGTCAACAACAAGCGGACTTGCTTCTTCAAAGACAATTTCCTGAGCACAGTTCGGTGGTCTCTACTACTCGATGCCAAAGGCGAATGAATAGCTTGGATGGAGGTTTAGTTCGAGCTCTTGCTCTTGCTACTGGCGCCAATGAGGAGGAGATTCGACGATCTACGGCCAAACGAAGTTTCGACAGATTACATGCAGGATATGCGCTGTTAGTGGATAAGGTGATGAGGTTCATCGCAAATCCAAGACTTCGAGAAGTGGTAGCAACGTGGATTAGGAGCAGTGCGATTGTCATATCAACGACTGGGTCGACGAGAGAAACACCGACGACCACGGCAACGCCTGTTTCTTCGGTGCCTACAGGGGTAGAAGAAGTCTCGCCAGCTGGGACTTTGCCTGCACCGAAATTAGCGAGTTGGAGAGAAGTGGCGGAGGAAGATGAGGAAGACGAAGAGGGCGCAACAGCATTACTTGAGGTGAATTTACGGTTGTATACATGAATGGATTCGCTATAGTTGAAAAGCTGCCCGAGGATTTGATGGATGAGCGAGAGGAAGTTGTGAATGGGTGAATTCAAATTGTGGTTGTTTTGGGCTAGATAGGCTCAAAATGTCATTATTAAGGTGGCTTCTTTCCTTCTCTCTTCCACAGGTTCAACAAAGGTCAACGTTCGACGAGGATGAGGATGTATCAATTACGGCATCTGCAGTTCAAAATCTCTCAGTCAGCAAGAGGTGGGGGGCAGACAGTGCAGAAATTGGCGGGAAGGACAAAAGTGTTGCGGATAGTGTGGAGTCTGCCACAACCTTACATTCGTCGACTTCGGATTTGCTTAACTCATGGGTGGAGGATTTCCGGGTAAAGCTTTCCTATTTCTTCTCTGCATCAGTGTCGTCTTACCTCCTCGGCTCTGCATGGATTGGTTGTTTGGAATGCACAAATTTTAGGCTTCGATTCTTTCATCTGATATCAGATGTTACATTTTATACTGCTTAATTAAGGGTTTCCTCACGAAATTAGTGAGTATGTGTTTGAAATTTCATAAAATGGGCTCTTTAAGTAATGTTAAGTAAGCAATTTTGCGCTTAAGAAACCTTAAGTTTTTCCCATTTCCTTTTAGGCCAGGAGGACGGACGTGGGAATAGCACTTTCCATTCTGCAGGTAGCATGCCTCGGAAATGCTTTGCACAAGACGGTTTTAGCTTTGCATGGAAGCATGTTTTTGTATTGTCTTTTATGTCATTTTTCTTTTCACCTTGTGTCAAAAAAAAATATGTTGGAGGTTAAAGCTCCTTTTGTAAGCTGTGGAGACCAGTCGCTAGGCTACTAATAGAGGAGCACTTATTTAAAATGTTAAAACAGAGCATTAAAATCGACAAAGGGGTGAAGGAAAGGCGAGTGGTTAATCGTTGCTTGTGGATGTCATTTGACTAGTACCCGACAGGTAGAGCATATTTGTGTTGCAATTACAATGCGAAGGAGGGCGGGTAGGATGAGGTCCCCAGGACGATGACGTTGGTCGTGCTAACTAAAAGAGTGCAGATTTCCTTGGATCCCCGACCGTATGCATAAAAGCGGAGATTTTAGCTGTACAGCTACTCAATAGGTGTAAATGTAGTTTTCTACTAATAGCTGGTTAATAGGAGGACGGGTTTTTAGAAGTACTGGCTCTACGGAGTCAAGATTTGTGTATGGATGGTTATTTGGCCATAAGTCTGGGTAATTCCAAATTTGTTTACCATTTAATTGTTCCCAGCTTAGGGTCTCATCTTCGTATCGGGCTTCCAAGCGTGATATATCGAGTATGCTCATTCGTCCCCTTCCGCATTTCAGACTGACGAAAGTCAGCTGTTGGAGGAGATCAGTGACATAGAACCTGACTCCACCTCGAAGAATATTCGACGGCACACAATTCAACTGCCAAGTCCAGCAATTTTACACCAACTTCCTGAAGACTTGCAGACATTTAATGTGGATCGTCAGCTAAAAGGTGACCATCAGCAGTTGAATCAGGAAGAAGAGGTGCCTCCAAATTTGCCTATGACAGGAGGAGGAGAGATGGAGAGCAAAAAGACAGGCAAAAGGGGCTCAGGTGGAGGGAGGATTCCTCGACAGACGACACAACCCGAATTTGGATGTTGGAAGACGGGACTTCAACGTGAAGCCCCAGGAAATGTGGTTGGTGAGGTACGAATTGGTAATTAGTCCAAGTTCTGCAGCTGTATTTGAGTGGAGCTGTGAATGTATGGATAACTGGGTTTAATCGAAATGGTAGTAGCTGACATAAGTACGGACAATGTGTGCGTAAATAACACACCACACCACACCACAGACATATCCATTTGTATTTGGGTATCCCATTTTTCCTAATATAACTAAAAAAGTAATGAAGTCTACTGAAGCGAGGTTAAGTGGCATACCCAAA